ATAATGTAAATCCAATATTTAATGACCAATGGATCTTCAAAAGATTAATTTGAATTCAAATTTGCTAAGGATATCAGCTATCAGAATTTGATCCGGTCCAATTTAATTATTAATAAGAAAAGAAAAACAAAACAGTCTATACAAAGAAAAAAACACATGATTTTTTTTCATTCATTTTTGTCATATATATATATATATATTTTAAACAAAATGGGGGGTATACACACATGGATCAAATTGGAGGTGATTTGAATCTGATCCGAATTTGAAACAGATCCATTTTTCAATCCAATCCGGTCCAAAAAATACGATAGAGGAGAAATCCCAATCAATTCAATTCAAATCATAATCATATCATGATCCGGTTTTATTCAGACTTTGGACTAGTGTCTATAAGCCTCTGTAGTTTTAGACGACCAAAGAATGCTGCGTGTAATTAAATATTTGGATTGGATGGTTAAGATGATTCTTGCTCTGTTTCTCATCATCTCCCATACTATTATAGTACTCAGTAGATGTTTCTAATACAAGGTGCAGATGTGCTGTGGGGGCGCAGATGTGAACATAAAATTTGCTGATTTGATGCGATATTCCCTAAACATAAACGATCCGATTCCGAGTGTTCAAGCAACATACAGGATCCCGTGTACAAAGACATTAGCCTTTGAAGTAAATCCAAGGCATTACATCAACTGGGCTTTGGATAGACTTTTATAAACTATTTGTACTTCTGAAAGTATACAAGTATGAAAAATACGATATGACATTTGTGTTGTGTATTTTATACTTTCTGTTTTCATAAAGTATGAAAAAATCCAAAAGCATGAAATCATCGTTTTCGTGCAATCAACACTATTTCCACTTGCTTCTGCTAGACTGAGATTACCGTCACCGGCCTTAGACTCCAAAACCATCATCGAAAGTACAAACAGACATGCTTTTGCCGAAGAAGAAGTCTATCAACGCAGTGCCTAATTTTTTTATTTATTTAAAAAATTAGTGTGTTCACCGTTCTAGGGATTGAATGCGACCACACTTGCAGCAAATTTCTCATTTATGGGACAGTTCATTAGCTCACCTTCCAAGCTTCCAATCACGCTGGGTGAATAAAATGCCACGTCCCACCAATGTTCTGTTCATCCAAGGGGCGTTCTACAACATGAATGTCTTTTGTTTTTATTTGTTTTTGAAATTGTTACATCAGGTCAGTTTGGAAGGAATACAAATACAAATATATAGAGCGTAAGACCTTGTATTTTGTATGTATTTGTATCGTGCATCTTTGTATTTGTACTCCATCCAAATTGAACCATCAGAAAATACACTAACATGTTCTTAAACTCTTTTTTCTTTGTTTTCAATGCGAAATAGAAGTTGATTTTGTACTCCTTTCAAATATGCTTTTGGTTTCAGTTTTGAAAACAAAAAACACACACATGACCAAGAATATCTTTTTTAAGAAACAATCTTGATGAGGGCAGATTTGGCCCTCCACTGAAATTGCGACATGTAGAACCTCGTGACAACTAGGTAAACACCCAGGTAACAACTTACCAAGTTGGTATCCCACCCAGGCACCGATATGGCCAGCCTGGCGCGACCTTCACATGGGCTACAGGCGGCCTGTGCACGACCTGGCGCGGCCTGCGCGGCCTGTGCGACCTAGCCGACCTGGATCGGCCTAGCGCATGATCTGACCTGGCCGACCTAGCCGCCCATAAGATGCCCATCGATGAACCATAGCGGCTTACCCCGCGAGCTTGGTAGCCCACCAAGGAGCTCGGTAGCTCACCAAGGAGCTAGGCTGCTCTCCAAGGAGCTCGCCACCAAGGAGCCAGGCAGCTCGGCAGAGCTCACCACAAACAACTCTGCATAGCTCCTCTGGGAAGCTCGCCCCTTGTAAGGTAGCTCGGTACAGGAGTAGTTTGGCGTATCGCAGGAAGATCTCCTGCCTGACAACCTGGCCTGGACACCGACCCGCCAACTAACACAAGCGTCGACCTGACAACCTGGCCCAGACACCGACCCGCCGACTGACGCAGGCACCACCCTGACAACCTGGCCCAGGCGCCGACCTGGCCGCCTGACACAAGCACCAGCCTGACGACCTCGAGGAGTTCACCACTGCACCCCGGTTCTGACGAGATGTGACGAGTCCTACCATTTGGAGGTTTTTCACCCACCTAACCCGCGAGGACTCCAGTATATAAAGACCTCACCCCCCAAAGGGGAGGGGGAGGGGAAATGGGATGGTAACCCCTGCCCTCTAGCTCTCTCACTTCTCTCCAAGCTCTCTGTAATCAGAATGCTAACTTAGGCATCAGAGAGCCCCCGTCGGGAAAATACCCCCGGGTCCTCTGATTCAGTTCTTGCAGGTCCCTCATCTCCCGTCGCCTACAAAGGAGAGGAAATCACTTCACGCAGAGGGTAGTCGGGTTGCGCTGCACCAGGGAGCTCCACCATTCTCTGAGTTGCAGGCCGCCTAAGAGCAAGTCAAATAACGAGGGAGTTCACCACCAGGTAGTTCGCCACCAAGCAGTTTGCCACCAGGGAGTTCACCACCAGGCAGTTCGCCACTAGGCAGTTTGCCACCAGGGAGCTCACCACCAGGCAGTTCGCCACCAAGGATTTCGCCACTAGGCAGTTCGCCCCCAGGCAGTTCGCCACCAGGGAGTTCGCCACCAGGCAGTTCGCCCCCAGGCAGTTCGCCACCAAGGAGCACCACCAGGCAGTTCACCACCAGGCAGTTCGCCACCCGGCAGTTCGTCACCAAGTAGCTCTCCACCAGGGAGCTCGCCACCGGGCAGTTCGCCACCAAGGAGCACCACCAGGCAGTTCGCCACCAAGGAGCACCACCAGGCAGTTCGCCACCAGGGAGTTCACCACCAGGCAGTTCGCCACCCGGCAGTTCGTCACCAAGTAGCTCTCCACCAGGGAGCTCGCCACCGGGCAGTTCGCCACCAAGCAGTTCGTCACCAAGAAGTTCTTCCCCAGGGAGTTCGCCACCAAGGCACGTCACCACTGGATCAAATAACGAGGTACTTAGCCAAAAAATTTTTATACATCACAAAAAATCGTACGTGACCAGAAACGGTTATATCAAATCTGTTTCTAGATAAAATGGTTTTGATTTGTTTTTGGAACTGACAACAAAAAAAAAATCATGTTGTTGAATGCCCCCTTAGCATGTTATATAGCTGAACTTCATACTCAGTTTGGATGGAGTACAAATATAAAATACATATAAAATAGTACAAATACAAATATGTAGAGTGCAAAACCTTGTATTTTGTATGTATTTGTACCATGGTTTTTAAAAAACGAACCGGTTATCGATTTGAACGGTTAACCGGCCGGTTCAGCGGTTTGCTGACCAAAATCAACGATTTTGGAGGAAAACGAAACCCGTCAAGTGACCAATTCCTGATTTTTCCGGTCCGATCCAGTTTTGAAAACAGTGATTTGTTCTGTACATCTTTGTATTTATACTCCTTCCAAACTGACACTTAATTGCAAAATGAGACTTATTTCTGTCTCGCCCATTCAGATGATGAATTATCCTTAATTTTTTCTGTAGTACTGTTATAAAGGATGCTCCATCCTGCTAATGAATGACATTACTCTGTGATTACTACTGCACTAACAAGAATGCATACTAGATGTCTAGATCGGTCTCATTTAACATAAGCTCATTTCTCCTGCACCAAAACCATAATGCATACTTTCGGGTGTTTGCACCGAAGGTAAAACATTCCGAAATTGTGAGGTCTCTTCTCTTGCTCTGAAAGAGTAATCCAGTTTCACTTTAATTGTTCATGTTGCCCTAACTTCCATATGTAAGCATGTCATGAGATGGTCTATGATTAAACTAACCACATGGAGAATGAGAATATACCCAAAGGAAAACAAATTCAAAACTTTGATGAGCATGGTTTCTGTGACTGCTTTTTATACCCATTTATTATGGCTGCATTTGGCATTCCAGTTTCACTTTAATTGTAGTTAAAAACTCAGTGTTCATAGAAGTATTTTAACTGCAAAAACAAGATAAGTCGTTAAAATAAGGAATGCCAAATGCAGCCTTAAGACCAATGACTTATTTTCAGTTGTACCAGTTTTGTAGTTCTGCTATAAAAGTGGTGTCAATTATCAGTCTCATTGAATCTGATGGTGAAATTACCCATGGATCTTTTCTTCTTTTTTACACATCGTTTAAAGCATCAATACACCCGATAGCATGAACAGGGGTATAAGTTCACATGAGCAGCCGCTCCAATTTCTAACTTGTAAGCATCAAGGCTCAAGGGTTATTCCAGTTCTAATAGAGTCTCCAGAGCCAAATATCATGAAATCAAGCCCGTTCATATTATCGATGGCATTTGGTCCCCTGGATTCTCTTTAAGCAATTGAAGGAGATGCTACTTCCCCCTAGTCATTGCCCCAAAAAGAATCTATTCCTTTTAAGCTTTAACTTAACAATTTCTTGAATCTTGGACTTGTTTGGATCAAATGGACATCGCTAAAGTATTTCTGATCATCATTGGTGTCAACATTCAGTAAGTGATGAGATTCCCAAAACTCACTTTCCAAAAATTAAAAATCACAATGCCACTAACAGGAAGGAAAAGTTCAACCATTGCATTTTAAACTTTCTCCCATTTTCTGTTTCTCTCTCTTTTTTTTTTTATCAAACCAAAAACAGCCATTAAAGTGAAACAAAATTGGAATTACGATGACAGAACTGTTCCTATAAGAAAGGGATTGCAGCGAAGTCTAACCAACTATAGCGCAGATCAAATCTAATTCCAAGTATATGAGGACACATTCTGCAATTATAAACGTTGGGAAGCTGATAACAATCTCAAATTGAAGCAGCTTAGTCATTTCCCCAGCTTGAACTATGGCTACTCTTGTCTACCCATGAAATGAACCAAAGCTATTGGCAAGCAAAAAAGAAATAAGTCAATGGTACATCTAAAATCACTCAACAGAAACAAATGGGAAAGCAAAAACTAGGTCAAGAAACTTCACTTATTCTCCCACATATACATACAACTAACAGAATCTGCTCCAAAATGTAACATCAAAAAATTTTTCTAAGAAATGACAGGCATTGAAGACCAGAGAACATGCTCCAGCCATTTGAGATTTCTGTGCTTGCAAGGGAGTTGTCCTCGAGTGACCTTTGGCTACAGAATTGATCTCTAATGTTCTTTCTTTTCTTTTCTTTTCTTTTTTTATTTAATGAACTGGTCTTTGCGATGGCAACCAACTTGAGTTACAGATATTCATGTATAACCATACTTTAATTTGAGCAGTACAGCAGAATCCAATTGAAATAACAGTTTTACAGACATTATCACCAGAAATCTAGAACACGAAGAAGGATTCTTTTTTTCTTTCCATGCTACAGCATAAATATTGCTTCTTGCTCTTCCAGTCCTCCCTAAACTAAAAATTCATGAAGAGAAAATTATCAGTTCTGCCTAAAAGCAATGTAATTCGTCAAAGATATCAATGGAGCTGCCTTATTTGGATCAAACTCGGAGAGCTGATCCAGGGCCTCCTTCCTCAGCTCTTCCGCGAATTCTCTCGATTTCTCGAGACCCATCAACTTCGGATAAGTAGTCTTGTCGGCCAACAGATCTTTCCCAGCCGTCTTCCCTAATTCCTGAGATGACTTCGTGACATCGAGGATATCGTCGACCACCTGAAACAGCAAGCCGATGCACCTCGCGAACTTCCTCAGCTTTTCGATTTGCTCATCCGATCCACCTCCCGCAATTGCCCCAATAACGACAGATCCTTCCAGCAGCGCCGCGGTCTTGTGAAGATGGATGAACTCAAGCTCTTCCAAGCCGACATCAGACAATCCAGTAGACCCGATATCAACAACCTGCCCAGCAACCAGTCCCTCTGACCCAATCACTCTCGCCAGTTCCCCGACCACACGAATGATCTTTGAAGGCGGAACCCCAATGGTTGCCGTGGCGATGTGCTCGAATGCGAAGGCCAGAAGAGCATCTCCGGCTAGGATCGCCACATCCTCGCCGAAGACCTTGTGGTTCGTTGGCTTCCCACGTCGGAGATCGTCATTATCCATACAGGGGAGATCATCGTGAATCAGAGACATGGTGTGAATCATCTCCACAGCGCATGCTGATGGCATGGCCATCGATTCCAGGCCGCCGACAAGCTCACATGCGGCAATGCAGAGAATCGGACGTACACGCTTGCCGCCGGCGAGAAGGGAGTAGCGCATGGCTTCGTGGATCTTGATGGGGTCTTTGAGGGAAACAGCCTTGTCGAGGGCTTTATTCACGGAATTTGCCTTTTGAAGCAAGTAAGCCTTGAAATTGAAGGTGGCCTCTTGGGCTTCTTCTTCAGTCTCCTCCTTTGCGGTATGCACGGCAGAGATAGAGACGTAAGAAGATATCCCTCGTCTTCTCCTTCCAGGTAAGAAATAGGTGGGCATCCTTCTCAGGGGATTAAACGTGCAGAAGGTTGTGGGTCTGGATCTTCCTGTATGGTTAAACATGGAACAGGTTTGAACACATGAACCCAGGATGGTACTCATCTTCTGGTTTGTGCTTTACTTATCTATCAGAGAGAGAGAGAGAGAGAGCAGAAAACCTGAAAAGGTTTTCCTTTGCTGTTCTTTCTGGAGAGAGAGCGAATCTAAAAATCTGTAGGATTAGTGAGAACGAATCTTAAAAACAAAAGGAATTCGTTTTGATTTTGCATCCTTTTGGGTTCAACTATGGTTCCAAAACTGCGAACACATGATGGGAAGGAGGGTCTCCTCTGCTATTCGCTGTCTACCATGCTGATAGCTGTATGGAAATCAGGAATTGGAAATTCCCAATATCCACCTCTATAACAAATAATAGAAAAAAGAAATAAAGAATCCACTATCTCTTCGATTTAACGGAAGAGGATAAGGAAGATTGGCAAATCACAAATGGAAACCGACTAACGGCCGTTATAGAATCGGGATCTTTTGACATCACACTCTCTATTTGGCGACAGCTGATACTTGTGATAATAGTAACCAGTCGGACATGTGAAGGCTGTTTTTTGTTTTTCGGTAAATTGCTGAAACTTCCCCACCTCCCCCTTCTCAGTTCTCACGGTTGCGGTTCAGTACCCTTCACACACTGACACTGCCCTCTCCTGAAATTTGAGATGAGATTGGCGTCCCACACATCGCGCCCCACTGTACATCCGAATAACTTCGGAGATATTTCCAATACACGCTGAGATGTGTATCTAGGGCGCTCATGGGGTGCACAGATGTGAACTTCTGAAATTTGCATCTACATTCCTATTTCATTAATTCAACTTTAGACATTGTCTCAACATTTTTAAATATCAAAATTGTTCCGAGAAGAAAACATTAATCATGTGGTTTTACACTAAAAAAATATATCGACAACACTAGTCATCAATATTTTTTTGAATAGTGGGTTATAATCCACCTTAACCCTCACTCACTTCAATCCACCCGCTTTCATCCATATATCGAGGAAGGTTTAGTTGAATGATTTAGCTGTTTAATACGTTGTGGAATCAATGGTAAGGTTTTATGCCAGACATGGAGGCCGCATTTTTTATAGTGGGGCTCATTAGTATGAAACTTTGTCATTAGTTCCATTGCTCACGTTCAATTAATCCAAATTCCCATATATTCATTATACTCAATATTTTTCTTAAAACACAAAAATTGATAAAAATTTAAAAGTTATATTCAGAAAAATATAAAATTTAAAAAACATAAAAATGATACTTTTTTTTTAAATATATTTCAATCAAAACATCAGAGTTGCATGAAAAACAAAACATAAATGATAAAATTTTCAAAAAGTATATATTTCAAGTAAGAAAAGGCAAAATGTGCAAAAAACAAATAAAATGATAAGAATTCAAAAAGATATTTTAATAAAAAGTAGAAAATGTAGGAAATACATAAAATTCATTAAAAACAAAAAAAATCTATATAATTCAATAAAATATATAGAAATTGTAGAACAAACACAAATTTTATGAATTTTAAGATCAATTTAATAAGAAAGGGAAAATTTACCATTCAAACAGACAAAGTTTAAGTTGGGTATTTTGATAATTTTACCCATTTCCATCTACAAGAATGTAACAAGGCTCAAGAGAGGACAGTACTATTAACATAAAGGAGGGTAATGAAACTGTCACGGTTAGAAATGATAGGGTAGTTTTTTTGGCCAAGAGTAATATATATATACATATATATATATCAAATACAAATACAAATATGTACAATGCAAATATATATAAAATAATATAAAAATAAAGTTTTGCACCCTACATATTTGTATTTGTACTCCTTCCAAAGTGAGCTATTCTTTTTTTGCTGGCTAGGAACTGGGATCTACTAATCACACAAGGCACCTCAGAGGCACATCCCATCATGCATTGGAAACATCTCCCATCTACAAATCATGTTTTCTTATCATTCTAATGGGTTTCTCACTTGTCCTATTTCTGAAACATAACTGATGAGGGGTAATTTGGTCCTCCAAATAGCCTCGTGACACATGGCCTTCAACTAACACATCGACGCCGGACAAGCAAACCAGCTCGGCAAGGTAGCCCAAGGCACCTCACCCAGATCGACCTCCACCTCGGCTAGACTGAATTGTCAGGTCCCCTGACTAGCGACGACTTGTCTCAAAGGCTGGCCGAGCTGTAGGAATCAATAGTGACCTGCAAGGTGAGCCCGCTGACTTGTCCTGACAATGCATTACCATCCCGAGGTCTACAAACATTAATACCTCAACCGTTTGACCGGCCTACCGCATAGCACGCCTCAAAGTTCTTCGGGCTAACTGCAATCTCCACAAAGATCTCGTAACCAACATACTAATACGCCCAACTAAGCAGAAATGGTTCCGCGAGAAGAAGAGACACGTTGTAAGATGACTCTAACCATCAATACCTATATAAGACACTCATTTTTACTTGTGAAGGTACACACAATTACATACTCTCAAGCTCTCTCATTCTCTCAAAGAACTCTCAAACACTCTTAGATTAAGCATCAGAGTGCCCACCCCAAGTAAAGATAAGTCGGTTACTCTAACATTCTCTCTTGCAGAACACTATCAGCTTGGCCCGACATAGCTCAGCCCTAACAAGGAATCTTCCGAATCGACATCCAAGTCATCTGACATGAGAGAACAACCGGATCGCGCTACATCAATAACTACGAATGAATACCTGCAATTGAGTCACTAGTCGTTAGCAGGGACATTAGAGGTGCCTTGTCCTTAAATATAAATTCTAGAGAATAAAAAAAAAAAAAGCAGGAAAGACTATCAATTTAGAGACATTCCTTCAAAATTAAATTTGCTCCTCACAGAGCGCTCTTGAGGCCAATCTTACAGCACATTGCAGTCAGGAACATCTCCATATATATGAATTTAGATTTCCTTCTCACAAAAGGGTCCTCACATCAATATCATAAGCTTGCAGCTATGCATTGGAAACATGTCCCATAATTAAAAATTTACAGGTGTGGGAGATGTTCCTGAGCTTAGTTTAAAAACAGTACAAATACAAATATATACAATATAAATACATACAAGAACATGAGAGCCAAGATATCTTTGGTGGTTGGGCTGAATGCGGGCAATCAGAATCCATTGTAGGTGGGTATTCTAGAGGGATTCTGGATTTACTTCCAACAGCAATTGCAGACTTGCAGTTTTATAGAGGTGTATCCGGATTTCCTGCTCTCAGTCCTTGAAGTTGTGCATTAGGAGCATCTCCACATGAATGACAATATACAAGCATAAGCATAGGACATGTTTTTCAAGGCTTTTAAAATTGGATAGGAAAGAGAACCATTCTGAGTCTCGTTATCAGGTTGAATGGTTTGATCATCTCATCAGAACTGTTTAGGTCAAAAATAAAAATAAATAGATAAAAAGGCAAAAATTATTGTCCCGGTTGATGGTTCAATTTTGTAAGTCAATGATTGGCTGACCAAATTAATATTTTTTAACCAAAAATGGGTTCTGGGGTAAAATGGAATTGGTCAAATAATTGATTTCCAATCCAACCGTCCAGTCCGGTATGATTTTAAAAACACTGATGTTTCCGATGTATGGCTGTAACATGGTGTGAGGTGGATGTAAATAGGTTTCTGTGAGGAGGAAATCCAACCCTGTTGGGACTGTGTTGGAATCCTGTATTGGACCAGATCCCAACTCTTCACCCAGACATAATATCATGCATGTGTAAATGCAATTAATGTTGTTGGATTGCAAACGGAATGGAGGTATTTATGCAATGATGTCATCCCATAATGGGAGCTCTTTGGACCGGAAAGGTCAGGGAGGTTTAGGCGCATTTTATAAGGTGGAAAATTTATGATGCAGAAAAGATATAGTATGAGCAAAACCCACTCATACATGCAACCTTACTTCTTTTACACATTTTTAAGATATTTAAACACCACCTTTTTGGATGTTTGGCATTGTGTGTTAGTTGAATGCTCTGGGCACCTTTAAAAGCGATTTTAACCACACGTCACTCCTATCCATCAACATTCATCAATAAATTGGTTTAAAAATAGGGGCACACCTTCAATGGTGTGGCTGGCTGTATTCTACATGTCCCAACGCAATTGATCAACAGGAAATTCAGACCATGTGTAAGTGTGCATGGCCATATTTTCAAAAAAGAAAACTTCGGCTTTCTGAACGTTTTTGGAAAAGTACTCACTCCGATGGTAACGTGCCATGTCCAAAACGCTTCCAACAGCCCAACTGATCCTATTTTTCAAGGGGAGAAGTGGGCATTTCCCTCTTCAAATTTGTAATTAAAAAAAAAAATTAAGAATATTTGTGTTTTGTAAATAAGCCTGAATAATAAGCACTTATTTGAAAAACTCTGATTTCGAATTTATTTTTAAGTGCTTATTTCTCTAATGGCATATGTTGACCTACCACGTCATTTTGAAAATACCTGTACAACCCCTATTTGAAATAATTTTTCTTCATCGAACTCTCATCGATACTTATTAGAATAAGCACTCTCAAACTCCACCTTAGTCCAACCCAAGTTGTACCCCTATTAAATGAGGGGAATAGCATGTATCTATGAAGCCAGAGAAGTATGGTACTATAAAAACTTCTATCAATTAGACCAATCAGCACTAAGGGTTAATAAGATAATATCATTTTTCCGGTAACATGTGTTTCTAGCATCATAAACGATATACTTGGGCTGGTCTGGCCCGTGATCACTCCTTGTGTATTTGTCGATATGCTTGTAACCTATAAGGTATAGCCGTATATGTTGATACATTCACAATATCGTTTATGATGCTAGATATAAGCCCATTACAAACTGATACAATTATCATATTGGTTGATAAGGTGGATAGAGGTGGAATGGAATTGAGTACTAATTCCACCTGAGATCGGATTTCTCCTTATGCTTGTCTCACACCGACCTCGACCTCACAATGCATCGCAGCCGTTCATTGAATAGAACAGCTCTCATTCTTGATGTTATTTACTATTTATGAAATGATATTACAACTGCAATGCGCTGTAAAATTGGTGTGAGGCATAATTTGTGAGGAACAAATCCAAATTTCATGAGTAGCCTCCAAATCAATACATATCAATTGTTATGTATCGGTATTTAAATTTGGAATCATGTACCAAGTTAACCTAAAAGTCAGGAAAATCTCTTAAAACCAATTAATTAATCTTAGTCATCTAAGGCTGCATTTGGCAGTCTTTATTTTAAGAATTTATCTCCTTTTAGCTGCAAAAAATGAGATAAGTCCTTAAAATACAGAATGCCAAATGCAGCCGAGTTGAAGACTTCGATCATCTAG